CATGCCCCCACCTGGCCATGGCTTTCTACTGTAAGCAAAAGCAAAAGCCTTCCTTTCCCCTTCACTTATTTATCTATTTGTTTTCAGTAAAGCATTATGAATTCCTATTTTTTTCCCAATGGTTTAAAATTTATACTGTGCTTATTTGGTGTTCAAGGTGTCACAGATTTGGCTAGTGGGATTGCCTTCACGCTGGCTCAGTGTCCTTGTAACCAGCCCCCATGATTTTTTTAAATTATTTCCTTTTAAAAATATATTTTTATTGATTTCAAAGAGGAAGGGAGAGGGAGAGAGAGATAGAACATCAATGATAAGAGAGAATCATTGATCGGCTGCCTTCTGCACGCCCCCAACCGGGGATCGAGCCTGCAACCTGGGCATGTGCCGGGATCAAACTTGGGATCCTTCAGTCGTCAGGCCAACGTCCTATCCGCTGAGCCAAACCAGCTAGGGCTCTTTTTTATAGTTCTGCTCAACTTTCTAAAGTCCTAATTTGTTAGCAGTAAGTAAATGTGTCCTTCAGCTTTTTTGTCAAATGATAAACTTTTAAGGATATTAAAGGTACAGGGGAAAGAATCCAGATGCCTATGAACTATATTTCAGGGTAACCATACATGAGAAAAAGTCTTCTTTATAGACAAATTACAGCTATTAATTAGAGAAGAACTGAGAGAATTAGGAAAACACCATTTTGTAATCCCTCAGGCAATACTAGATCTAAACAAAGAACATCAATACCTACTAAACCATTGAGTAGGAGATCAGATAAAGAATGTTACAATGGAGGGACCAGACTGAAATGACAAACCCACACTCATATCTTCATCACTAAAGATAGGGCAATCAGACATTATGGGACCTCTTCATAAAAAGTGACAAGATGTAGAAAGCACCACTTATATAGTACTAGAGGCCTGGTGCACGAATTCATGCATGGGTGGGGTCCGGTTGGCTGGCACCGCCCCCTGGTTGAACTCCCGGTCGAGGGACAATTTGCCTATTAACCTTTTATTATAAAGGATTCTTTACCAAAAAGGGAATCTGGCCTAGCCAGTGTGGCTCAGTGATTAAAAGTGGCCCCATGCACCAGAGGTCGCCAGTTCAATTCCTGGTCAGGACACATGCCTGGTTTGCCAGCTTGATCCCCAGCAGGGAACATGGAGGAGACAGCCAATTGCTGAAATCAATAAAGATATATTAAAAGAAAAAACTAAGAAAAAAAATTTTTTAAGGGAACCCGAATCTAATCAGTCCTCTAAATCTAACCATTAATTCACAGACATTACACGCAACCCTATGAGGATACAATTTGCTATATTTTGAATTTGGAAGATTCTATAGCACAAATCACCTAGTTCTTAAAAAAAAAAAGTGGCCTTGGATAGGTGGCTCAGTTGGTTGGAGCATGGTCCTATACAACAAAAAGGTTGCAGGTTCAATCCCCAGGTAAGGTTTAACAGAAAGGTCAAGGAGGAGACACTGTAATAGATTAAAATAGGCTTCAGAGACAAATCTAGAAAATGACATATTCATACGATGTTTGTTTTATTGTTATTGTTTTTTGTTTGGTTGGTTTTTATTAATCCTCACCCAAGGCTATTTTTTCCATTGATTTTTAGAGAGAGTGAAAAGGAGGGGCAGAAGCAGAGAGAGAAACATTGATATAAGAGAGACACATCAATTGGTTGCCTCCCACTCTTGCCCTGACGAGGGCCGGGCCTTAAGCTTGAAATCTAGGTATGTCACTAATCATTGGAATCCAACCTGGGACCCTTCAGTCCTTGGGCTGATGCTCTATCCACTGAGCCAAACCAGCTAGGGCATTCATACCATGTTTTGATACAAATTGGAATATATCAACTCGTTTTTGAGACAATGGGGAAAAATAGAACATGAACTAGGTATAAGATGATATTAAGGACTCATTGTCAATTTTGTTAGGTGGGTTAATGGCATTATGTAATGTTTTTAAAACAGACACACCTGAAGTATTTACAGTGAAATGATAGGATGTGTGAAATTTACATGATAATATTTCAGCAAAAGAAAAACTGAGATGATGATGGAGATAGATGAAACAAGAATGATAAAATATTGACACTCATGGAAGTTGGGTTTTTTCAGCTAACCCCCCAATAACACATTGGGATATACTGTACAATTTTCTCTACCTTAACTTTGAAATTTTCCATAATGAAAAAATTAAATTTAAAAATGCTTTAAGGGGAAAAAACTATCTAAAAACCTCTTTTGTAAAATGAATATTCTTTTGGAATGAGAAATTGGCCTCAAGGTACCTGTACTCTAAACTCAAGATTTCCATACTGAATTTGTACAGGGAAGAGCAGATTAAACTGTTTTAAAGAGCCCATCAAGAAGGAAGTATACCATATATTAGTTCATTTCCCTTTAGACTTCGCAGGACAGTACTCATAGCCCTATTTTATCCTTAAGCAAATGTGTCTCCTCCAGGCTGGTGACGGCAGGATTAAATCTGGTTCTCTACATGACCTCCCACCAACACAGCTTTCTCAATTCATTCTATTCACTCACTGACTTAGCTGTCCATTTAGTATCATTATATACCATTCATTATGTAAAATATTTCAAAAGAGTTGAGGAGCTGATCATTGTGAAGGGGAAGGAAGAGGCAGGGAGAGTTGGGGTAGGGAAGAGAGTTACACACATAACTGTATTACAAGATAGAATGGGGTAAGAATTATAAGAGACTTACAAAGTGTTTCTGGAGGGCAAAGGAGAGGATTGGGGACAGTACCAAGTAAGGTTTGTATGGGAAAGTGGCGTTCGAGCTGGGCCATGAAAGATGCTGGGTTCATGACTGATGGGGAGAATGTTCCCAGGGAAGCAGTACATGGAAATGTATCAGACATCTGTGACATGTAAACCTTTGAGACAGACAATGAGCTGACTTCATAAAATATTTGGAAATGCCACAAACCAATTTCTTCCCTCGGAAGTATAGGTACACAGAAAGAACAACCCAGCTGGAAGTTGAAAAGGAAATGGGAGTATGGAAATGATTAAAAGGTCGTAGTAAGGAATACAGTTTAAACAAATGTTGTCGAGACATCCTGCCAGAACTGAAGGAACAAGGAATAGCTACAATGCTCTCATTAGTTGCCAGATGAAAGGAGCACCCGCTCCCTGTCTTACTGCTCTGCTAAAGTATCACTAATTAAAGTAGTAAATTCTATTGTCTAGTCCACCAGATGTAGGCTTCATAAGGGCATCAACTTTACTCCTTCCAACCCTGCAATATTTTTACTTTATTAATTTGAATACTTATAAAACTAGACAGGACCTTAGATGGCTAAGCCAACCTGATTCTAATTCTTGGGAGTCTGGATTAAAAAATTCAGAAGAGCCCTGGCTGGTGTGGCCCAGTGGTTGAGCATCTACCTATGAACCAGGAGGTCAACGTTCAATTTCCAATCAGGGCACATGACTGGGTCGTGGGCTCGATCTCCAGTAGGAGGGGTGCAGGAGGCAGCTGATCAATGATTCTCTCTCATCATTGATGTTTCTATCTCCCTCTCCCTCTTCCTTACTCTCTGAAATTAATAAAATGTTGTTTTTTTTAAAGAAATTCAGAAGAAAACAATCCAATAAAAAATGGGCAGAGGACCTGAACAGACACTTCTCCAAAGAGAATATACAGATGGCCTGGCCAATAGAAATATGAAAAGATGCTCAATGTCACTAATCATCAGAAAATTGCAAACTAAAACAATAATGAGATATCACCTCACCCCTGTCAGAATGGCTATCATCAATAAATCCACAATCAACAAGTGTTGGTGAGGATGTGGAGAGAAGGGAACCCTTGTGCACTGTTGGTGAGAATGCAGATTGGTGCAGATACTGTGAAAAGCAGCATAGTGGGTCCTCAAAAAATTAAAAATGTAACTGTCTTATGACCTATTGATTCTTCTTCTGGATATATATATTCAAAGAAACCCAAGACACTAATTCAAAAGAATATATGCACCCCTATATTCATTGCAGCATCTATACTAATAAAAGGGTAATATGCAAATTAACCGTCACTCCGCAACAAGGCCGGAAGCCACAAAGATGGCGGTGCCAGCTGGAGCCACAGAGCCGGCAGAGCGGGCAGGAGGCTTGGCCTGGGGGCTGCCACGGAGCTGGGGTGATGAAGGAAGGCAGCATCCCACCCACCCAGGATGACGAAGGAAGCCAAGCCTCCGCCTGCTTCACCTGGCTCCGAGGCCGCTGCCCAAGCCAAGACTCCCGCCCGCCCCAGGCGACGAAGGAAACCAAGCCTCCCGCTCACTCCGCCCGGCTCCATGGCCGCCGCCCAAGCCAAGCCTCCCGCCCGCTCCACCCAGCTCCGGGGCCGCCGCCCAAGCCAAGCCTTCCTGGGGCGACGAAGGAAGCCAAGCCTCCGGCACAGCCGGGCCGGCCACCGAGGGAGACATGCGGCAAGTGTAGTAGGGAGACATGTGGGGAGTGAGCAAGGTTCCCTGTCTGGGGGTTCCAAATCCGCCATTGGTTCCTTTCACCACTGACTAGAGATATACAGGGTGTCCCCCCAAAATGGATACACACTTTGAATACCTACTAATTCCAATGGGTTCAAGCATAAGAAAGAAACAACAATGGAGCTGTCACCTGTTAACACATTGCATACAGCTCAGGAGTTTTCTCGTGTTTCGCGCGCCATCTGTTATGGACCTTAGATGTCAACACACTATCCTGCCCACTGTGGGGCGCGGCTACAGCGTTTTGGCCAGGTTCAAGCCTCGGACTAATGAAAGGACAGGATCCTCTCACTGCCACGTGCAAGTCCCAGCTGGAGGGCAGGGCCCTCCCAGCACAGTCATAGCCAACGGCTGTGGTTGTAAGCTTGAACCTATGGTCTGAACA